TTTTTCCAGCTTCCTGTGTTTCTCAAGTTTTCGAATATAGCTTTATCTCTTACGCACTCACGGTAACCAGACGCATGCTGCCCCAATCTGCGATTCCTGGGGGCGAGCGGGAGCCGGTCGCGTATTCTGAACTATGCCTACGCGGCTCGCGAATAATAATGTTCGTGCAGTCATGCAGCATGTCTCACTCCGCGCTCAGGGTATTGGTCAAGTTGATATGGCCATGAAATTGCTGCACTGCTATTATTTATTCCGTGGTCAAAGTTAAATAAATTATGAGTTGTCCATTGGTCTATGAAGTGTGACTTTGGCCATCACCTGATTTTGCCGCCCCCTGAATTTGCCGCCCGGGGCATAGGCCCCGGCTTGCCCCCCCCTAGATCCGGGGCTGGTGCTGTCGATAACATAGATTAAACTAGTGACGTTCATTTAGTTGATTTTCGTCGTCTAACATTCGGCCATCCTGAATCTCCTTCGTCCCCGAAGGATCCTCTATTAAGTTTCGGCAGCAGGTTCCTCACCGAAGACTCGTATCCTGATGACCTGGTGGCAGTTGCAGTTATTTAACCTGAAAGTTAATTATAAATACAAGCCCCTTACGACGATTATGAAATTGAGCTTATTAGAGCAATTACAATTTAAGCAGCTTATGGCAAATATGAATACAAGCCCCTTACGGCGTTCATGGATATACGCCCCTCACGGCATCCATTTGTGCACGCCCCTAGCGGCATTCGTGGATGTAAGCCCCTCACGGCATCCATCTGTGCACGCCCCTGACGGCATTCATGGATATAAGCCCCTCACGGCATCCATTTGTACAAGCCCCTTACGGCATTCATGGATATATGCCCCTCACGGCATCCATTTGTGCACGCCCCTTACGGTATTCATGGATATACGCCCCTTACGGCATTCATTTGTACAGGCCCCTAACGGCATTCATTGATATAAGCCCCTCACGGCATCCATTTGTACACGCCCCTAACGGCATTCATGGATATACGCCCCTTACGGCATCCATTTGTGCACGCCCCTTACGGCATTCATGGATATACGCCCCTTACGGCATCCATTTGTACAGGCCCCTAGCGGCATTCATGAATATACGCCCCTTACGGCATCCATTTATATAGGCCCCTAACGGCATTAATGGATATGCGCCCCTTACGGCATCCATTTATATAGGCCCCTAGCGGCATTCATGGATATACGCCCCTTACGGCATCCATTTATATAGGCCCCTAGCGGCATTCATGGATATGCGCCCCTTACGGCATCCATTTGTACAGGCCCCTAGCGGCATTCATGAATATACGCCCCTTACGGCATCCATTTATATAGGCCCCTAGCGGCATTCATGAATATACGCCCCTTACGGCATCCATTTATATAGGCCCCTAAAAATGTATATTCATATTGAATAATAAAAATAAAATAAATTACAAATAAAATTGTTATAAACATAGAACACTCTATAATTTGATCACAGCGCACTGAACTTCACTACTACTGCCAATCTGGCTGAATCTTGTATAATTATCACACCGTATATTGTTAATAACACTGATAATCTTGTTATGATTTATTGAACTTTAAACTATTGCATAAACATTCACCGAAGGTCATTAGTCAGCGGAGAATCTTGACACTGCGATTCAGAAAATGGAATAAAACTAACAACACCATCTAGTTTCAAAAGTGGAACTAAAGTGTCCTAGAACTAATTTAAATTACGGGTGACAATTGAACATAACGCCCACCAAGGACATTATTTATAAATGTCCTTAAAAAAGTAAATACATAAATTCTTACATGAACATTTGTTTCTTTATTTAAACAAGAGTATATTTTTTATTTTTTTCTTGTATAGAAGCACTATTTTATATGGTTTGTCAGTATACGTATGTGAGGACCATGTCAGACTTAAGATATTTGTTTTCTCTTGGTTTTGT